TGTCAGCTGGGAGGGTTCTCTGTTCCTCTCTTCCTGGGCCTCTCCATGAGATGTCTTGGGCTTCCTCACAGCATGGTGCTAGGTTCCCAGCACGAGCGTCCCATGAGACAGGAAGTGGAAGCTGCCGTTTCCTTTAGTCCTGAGCCCAGAAACTGCCAGTATCACATCCGCTACGTTCTCTTAGTCGAGCAGTCACCAGGACCAGATTCTGAGAGAGCCATCAGGGACCCCACCTGTTGATGTCAGGAGTGTCAAAGAATTCTGCAGCTGTGGTTTAAAACTACACATCATTCATCGATCCACGTTTTTTTAATAACAGCTTTATTGAGATATAATTTGCATACCATAAAGTTTACCCTTTTAAAGTGTACAATTCAGTGGCTTTTAGTATACTCCCAGAGTTGTGCATCTATCCCCACTATCAAATTCTAGAACACTTTCATCATCCAAAAATGAAACCCCATACCCATTAGCAGTCATTCGCCACATCCCCTCTCCCCAGCCCTGCAACCACTGGTCTACTTTCTGTCTCTATAAATTTGCCTATTCTGGACATTTCATGTACATTAAATTATGCAATATATGGCCTTTTGTAACTTTCTTCTTTCATTTTGGGTACTGTTTTCAAGGTAACATGTATTGATACTTTCTTTTCATGCCTAAGTAAATTCCATTGTATAGGTTGAAGAACTTTGTTTCCACCTTTTGGCTGTTGTAAATAGCCCTGTTATGATCACTTGTGAATGGGAATTTGCTTGAACACCTATTTTCAATTCTTTGGGGTATGTATCTAGGAGTGGAATTGCTGGGTCATATGTTAAGTCTATGTTAAACGTGCGAGGAACTGTCGGACTGTTTTCCACAACTGTTGCACATTCCCACCAGCACCACATTGTTGCCACCACTTGTTACTGTCTGTCTTCTTGGTTATGGCCATCCCAGTGGGGATGAAGAGGTCACCCATCCACTCAAGTGTTCAGTCAACAAATACTCCTGAGCACTTCCTCTGTGGCTGGCCCTGAGGATCCAGAAGTGGGTCCTCCCTGTCCTCCAAGAGCTCGTGCAGTGGTGGACTGTAGGGGTTTTTCACTCATTTGGCAGCCCAGCCCTGGGGTCATGAAATTCCCTAGTAGGTGGGGGTTGAAGGGTGGACAGGGGCAAAGAACAAATTCCAGGAGTTGGACCCTTGTGTATACTGAGCTACAGACAGGTGTGGCATCAGCTCGCTGACCCATCTTGATAGCTGGAAGATTGTAAGGCCACCTTCTCTAACACTTTCCATCTATCACCTTTGCCCTGTGAACGTCATGCCCACCTGCTGGGCCCAGCACCCAGGAATGAGGTCCCTTGATAGAGTTTGGATGTGTTGTCTCCAGCAAAACTCATGTCGAAATCTGATCCCCAATGTGGCAGTGTTGGGAGCTGTTTGAGTCATGGGGGTGGATCCCTCATGAATGGATTAATGCTCACCCTGGGGGAGGGGGGGTAGTGAGTGAGTTCTTGCTCTATTAGTTCTCTTGAGAGCTGGTTGTTTAAAAGACCCTGGCACCTCCTCTCTCTCTCTTGCTTCCTCTGGCCATGTGATCTGCTTGTACCTGCTGGCTGCCTGCAATTTTCCACCATGTGTAGAAGCAGCCTGAGGCCCACACCAGACATGGCTGTCCCAGAATCGTAAACCAAATAAACCTCTGTTCTTTACAAATTACCCAGTCTCAGGTATTCTGTTATAGCAACACAAAATGGACTAAAACCCCCTTAGTTCCTGCTTCCCCAGCCCACAAAAGCCGGTAAGCTCCTGGCTGGTTGAGGTCTAGTGGCTGGGCTTCGTCTAATGGCTTTGGGCATCTTGGCCTCTTCTCTCCATCTGCTGGGTCCAGTCACTCCTACTCTCAGCTCTGTGGCCCCAACAACAGTCTTTTCTCACCAAAGGGGCCCCGGGAGGCAGGTGATTGGAGCTCTGGGCTGACCTGGCCTCAGCTTTGCACCCAGTTCCAGAGGGCATCCAACCTCTGAAGAGGCAAAACAGAGAGGCCTGTCTCTCCTCTAGCCTCTGGGGAGCCCATCTGGGTCCCTGGGCCTGACCGTCCTGCCTCTGGTCAGAAGGCCCCCCCTCCCTCCTTCCTCCCATCCCATCGGCTCACAAGCTCAGGAGTGATCTCATCTGAGCCTTGGTCTGCTGGTGGGGGAGACGCCTGTCCTAGGACTGCTACCTCCTTGCTCTGTGCCTTGGGCAGGCCCCTGCCCCCCATCCTTAGTTCCTTCCCCTGTTAAGAGTGGGTGCTGGGCTGACAACCTCTGAGTACCTCCTGCCTGCTTCCTAGGGCTCCATAGTGCTGAGTTATGGCAACACCCACAGCAGTAAGAGCAACCACTATCTGTGGAGGGGCCACGGGGCACCAGGCATTTCACATGGATTTTCTAACATGAATTCCTATGCTTCCCCCAGCATCCCCAGAGGCAGGACAGGTGGCCCCACTGCCATCTCTCTCCAGGCTTTGGAAGCCTTCCTGGAGGTGGGAAGAATTCCCCCCACCTGCCATGCCAAGGGGGCAGCCATGGTCTCAGAGGGAGGCCGTTCCTGTGTGCCTGCGACCCTTTCTATCTTACCAGAGGCTGTTTGCAGAGCAACCGCCAGGTGAGAAGCCCTGCTCAGCCACCTCAGCCAGCAAGTCACCACCTGCAACCTCCAGTCCCCTGGCTGGTTCCCTGGATGCTTCTGGGACATTTCCTGCCCTCATCTCAAGGTGCCCAACCTTAGCCTCTTTGTGTTGAGGTTCCAGGGGGAACTTTTAGGCCCTTTGCTCAGAACCCCAACACCCAGGGGTGTTGTTTCATTGTCAGCAGGCAGTGGAGGTAAACCAGAGCCACAGGGCACAGTACTACTTCAGCATGGGAGGCGGGGCTGGCAGGGGCCCTGAGGACTGCAGGAGCTCTCGGCACAAACCTTCCACTCAAACCTGTGCACTGAGAGACTTGATCAAACCTCAGCACGGCTTCCTGCAGCCCAAGGCCACATCCAGGAGACGACTCAGCCCCTTTGAGTTCCTGTTTGTAAAAGCTCAGGGCTGTCAAAAGAACTGACTGTTGTAGTCACCTGGGGATAGGCCCCTGACCACCCACCCCCATCCCCCAAGTTTACCATTGTGAATCCTTCCTCTCTCCCCTTGAGATATACATGTGTCTCCTACAACTCAGAAATGTCTTCCTCAAGGACCTGAGAGCCATTCCCTTGAAATGTCATCATCAGGAAGGACAGGGACTCTGTCTCCCAAGCTCTGTAGGAGGGTAGGACCCTAACATCTGTGACTTCTAGCTAGCAAACATAGGTAGTTGCTATGGTCTGAATCTGTCCCCCAAAACTCATGTGTTGGAAATTTAATCTCCAAATTCATATGCTGAATGTAGAGAGGTAATGGGGGTTAGATAAGGTCATCAGGGTGGGGCCCCCATGATGAGACTGGTGGATTTATAAGAAGAGGAAGAGCCAAAGCTGATGCACATGCTCTTGCCCTCTGCCATGTCATGACACAGCAGGGAGGCCCTCACCAGATGCCAGTGCCATGCCCTTGGACTTCCCAGCCTCCAGAAGCATGAACTAAATAAACTTCATTTCCTTATAAACTACCCAGTGTGTGGTAGTCCGTTATAGCAACAGTAAATGGACAAAGCTTTATCACGTGTACACTAACCAACTTTCTTACGCACTTTTTATCATTTTTCATTTCCCTGACTATTTCCCCTTTCCCCTCCCTACTCCCTTATTCTCCCTTTAAGACACCCAGTTGCCTCTGCACAAATCAGAATGGAGCTCAGCTCTTTCCCTACTGTCAATAGTGACTGAATAAAATCTGTTCCCACCAGGTCACCCAATGTCTGGCTGTGTTGCTCTCCGACAGATGCCTTCTAACAGCAGCTGTGATGGTTTCCTTTCTTATGCCCTCGGTTTCCCTTCAAGGTTAGTGCCGTCCATTTTACAGGGAACCATCACAATTCCCTGAGGTCACCCAGCCTGAGGATGGCAGAGCTGGGTGGGCCAAGCTGTCACTCCTGGCTTCTCGATCCTGGCAGGGCTACAGCCACAGACCCCAGGATTGTTGAAAGGCGATGATGGGAAGCCCCCCGAAAGGAGGAGGGAGTGAGGGTCTCTGTGAGCGTGGTTATGTCCTTTGCCATTGGAAGCACTTGACCCGTATCAAGAACTCGATTAACAGTAGATCCGTGGAGCAGGTGAGGATACTGAGGTTCAGATGCAATGCCTTCTCAGCTCCCGTCCCTAGTGATCATGCGAAGAGGGCGGGCTGGTGTCAGAGCAGCTCAGTCTCTGCCCCAGGCTGTGCTCGCTCCCCAGTTCCTGCAGACCCCGGGCCACCCCCGACCCCAAGAGGGACTTGCAAGAGCCTGCCCTTTGACAGATCAATGGAAGAGTAGGACTCTGAATCTTGATGCCACCCTTCCTAGCTGTGTGTCCTTGAGCGTGTCATTTAAATAACGTCAGCCTCATCTGCGAAAAGAGGACAAGCGCCCGCCTCCCAGGCTGTTGTAAACTGACACGGACTGAAACGGAGACCGCGGGCGGTGCTCAGCCAGCCTCCCAGAGCCAGAGGGCGCTGCAGACACTGCGCAAGGCGCCGCGGGCTCCTCTCGCTTCTCCCTCCCACCCTCCTCCCGTCGCGCTATTTTGCTTCCGGTTGTTCCGGAAGTCGGAGCTTCAAGTGCTGCAAGGTCTGTTTCCCGTTCCGGGATAGCGGGGCGGCGGCGGGCCGCTGATGCTATGGGCTGCAAGTGAATGGTCCGCATCCTTCGGCGCTTCTTCTCTGCTGGCAAGCGCCTGGTCCTCCGGGTTCTCCCGCTCGGCCACCTGCTCCAGCCCGGGCCCCGCATCCGCGCCGCGTGGTGCGGCCTGGCCGAGTCCCTCCCCGGGCGGTTCTGAGACGGGGGCTCGTGCAGCCCACTGCAGAAGCGCTCCCCCCGGCGGGCCCGGGGCCTCTGGCTCCTGGGTCCCAGGCCCCGCCCCGAATGGTAGGGAAGCGAACGAATGAGCAAGCGAATGAATGAGTGATTTCGTGCCGGTCTTCGCAGGTGACACACCAGCAGCTAGGAGCCGCGAGGGGAAGTGGGCAGGATGAACCGGGCCAAGCCCACCACCGTGCGGAGGCCCAGCGCTGCGGCCAAACCCTCAGGTGCATGGTTTCTCCCCGTTCTGTGCAGCCGGGGGTCCTTTGGAGGTCCTCAGCTGCTGTGGAGTCTGAGTTGGTGCTTAGTTGTTCAGCAGCAAAGGCTCTTTCCAGGAATTGGGTCTAGAAAAACAAACAGTCCTCGGCTGTAAGGGGCTCTGTGAGTCCTGGGAGTGTTGGGACAGTTGCGACTTCCTCCAGGACACGGTTATCTCGCTTCAGAGTGAGCATCCGAGGCAGCAGACAGTAGTGGAAAGATCTCCTGTGTCAGGAAACAGCACAGTGTAGTGGTTAAAAGCACAGACTCTGGAGCCAGACTGCCTAGACTCAAATCCTGGCTTTGTCACTCGCCAGTTGTGTGACACTGGCCACGTTACTTAATCTCTCTGTGTCTGATTACCTTACCTGTAGTGGTACTATTTCAGAAACTTGTTGAAGATTAAGCAAACTAATACTTATGAGCTGGAGACGGCCTGGTTTGTAGTAAGCACTATATAACCATCAGCCATCACTGGTAGCATCAAACCAGTCCCAGCTCTGCTACTGACTTGCTGAGTAACATCAGGCTTGCTCTTTGCTTCCTCTGACCCTTGTTTAATCCTCTCTGAGATAACAGGAGTTTGGAGTCAGTCTTTTTCCACCTTGGGCTTTGTAAATGTGCAAGTTTTTCTATCTCCCTTCTCTGCAGGGCACCCTCCACCAGGAGACTTCATTGCTCTGGGCTCAAAGGGTCAAGCCAATGAATCCAAAACAGCATCTACCCTGCTGAAGCCAGCCCCTTCCGGCCTGCCGTCGGAGCGCAAGCGCGATGCCGCGGCTGCTTTGTCTGGTGCCTCGGCCCTCACCGGCCTCACCAAACGCCCCAAACTCTCTTCCACACCCCCTCTGAGTGCCCTGGGGCGACTGGCTGAGGCTGCAGTGGCAGAAAAACGAGCCATTTCTCCCTCAATTAAAGAACCATCTGTGGTGCCAATTGAAGGTAAAGTCAATCCGTGGACTTCCCCATTGAATGTATTCCACACCATGTCAGTCGACCAGTTGTTCAGCAAAGCCCACCTCCAGGCCTAGAACTGTCTGTACAGCATAGCTTTGGGAGAATGGATGAGTCATTTTTTTTTTTTTT